CCTCCGCAGCCCCGCAGCCACGGTGGGGGCAGCCCCACATCGTGGCTTGGCCCCCCGGCTGCTCCCTGCCGGCCTCGTGGGTCTGTGACGAGGGGCCGGCAAGACGTGCAGAGGCCGAGCCAGGCCCACGTGCTGGTTTCAGATGGGAAACTCCGACAGCCTGGGGATCCGGAGCATCCTGCACGATGACGTGACGCTAACGGTCATTTTCTGTGGCTTGTTTAAAGGCTTCATAGAAGGATCTGCAGGGATCTGCAGTTGTCAAAGGGAAACCCCAGTCAGAAGAACCCACCAAGATGCATCAAGAGAGCATTTTCTTCCAGCTTACCCCACTGAACACTTTTTTTACCTCGAGGATGTTAGCTTTGCTTGAGAAGCTGTAATTGCACTTTAAAGAAAATGCTCTCCTGCTCTTACCCTCAACTTAGTTGTGGGAACAAGACAAGAAATCAGATAGGCACGCAAACTCTGCAAAGGGAGTATTTTTTACATGGAACCAGAGAAACATCTCGTAGAGCAATCAGCTCAGCTCTCCTCAACTGCAACAGTATTTTCTTGCATTTAGTAGACTTTAGACCAGTCGAATACTCTGTATTTTAGCTAGGAGGGCTCTTGGCATGCTTTGAGGGGGACTATCCCACCATTCAACCTTTCAGTTCAAATTTCCAAAGATATTTTGCTGCTTCTCTCAACACCACAGTGACTACAGTCCACACAAAATTTGGCACCTAATTCCTGCCAGAGATATAAACCATCTTTAGCAAACATGGGCAGTAAGCCACACTTCAGGAGTTCCCTACCAAACCAAGTCTCGTTGAAAGTCACCGGGATTAAGTGCCTAAGTCACCTTTTGACAAGGGCTGTACCTTTCTGAAGGTGGATATGCATCGTAGTGCTCGTAGACGTGACCGAAGTAGCTTTGAACCTCTCTGTTGTGGAGCCAACAAAAACATGTCAGCAGGCTCTACCCACCCAAGTGGTTCCCAGGCGATTTTGGGGACACTGAATTCTTTGCCTCACCCCTCTTCTTCCCTCAAAACACTGCTTTTGTGCCTCTCTGGATGCAAACAGGAGCAGAACGGAGTCAAGTTTTCCAAGATGCATTTACCCCCTGTCAGATAAAGGTGAACCATGGAGATGCACTAGCCTGGCTATCGCTTCAGTCCCCCTCTCCATTTCTACCACCCCTTTTAATTTGATCTTGCTTGAGTGCACCCCCTGAAACGGGACCGCTCAGCCAAACGGTGTGTGACGGCTTGCGGCATCGGGGGTGCCACCGTAGCAGCCGAACATCTTACGAGCATGTGTGCGAGACAGGAAATCCTCATTCCACGGCCAGAGCACTTGAAGCACAGAAGGTTTTCAAGGGACTCAACCAAGAAACTACACGGTGACGCAAGGAACGGAGGCGAGATGCCTTGCCTCTTGGGCCTCCGCTTGAAGACAAGCTGTTCCCATCCCTCTCTTCATTAACTCATAAATAGCAACTCTGGACCTTGCCCAGATCTCTCCCCCCACAGAATATCTTGCTTTAAATTATTCTTCCCATATCATCCTAGATCATATTTCTTCTTTTATGTTTCCAAGTTGAAGTTTATTATAGTTTATTACAGTCGTCTGCATTGCTGATCATTTGTAACCCTTTCTATTATTTTCCTGTCCTTGCTAGTATTTGAAATGCTTCTTACTTTGGTCCTCTTTTCAAATTCTATTACTATACTGCTCACCCCATGTTTCCACCAAGCCCATTCTGCCTTGCTTCTGTTCTCGCCAAACTTGAGGCCGCTGCTGCTCCTTCTCCTTTGCTGTACAGCACCACCAGATTAATTTTTTTTCAGCCTTTTCCATACACACTACGCCTCTCTGTTGATGAAGAGACCCTCACCGGGTTTCAGCAGTGCCAGCCACGTTGTCCTTGCCATTAGTGTTACATTTCTAGTTATTCTTGCTTCTTCCCAAAGCCTTTGAAGTCGTGTAGAGACAATTTGATTCATTAGTACACTCAGTCTTGCAGTAACTCTAGCTTCTGCTGTAGTTTCTGTATTAGAAGCACATGTTGGGTCTATAAGTTAGGGGAAAGCTCCCTATGCAGTTCAAATTCTGCTTTAAAAATCTTTGCCTCGCTAAACTCGAATGGCTGGTGGCTTTCTGCCCTGGGTTTCCGTACCTGGGAATGCCACCTCCTCCTTCCTCCCTTCCTCCCTACTGGGATGACAAACCCTCGTGAGCAACATGCTTTCTCTTTCTGTGCGTCTCTGGACTGGAAGACTTTATGACAGTTATATATGTTTGCAGTTCTCGTCACGGTTTTCCGGAAGAGCTGCTGTTATCCCGAATATTTCCTTACTGAGATGTCACTTAGCTTCACGTAGGCTGAGATCCATCGGCAGCACTCTTCACTAGACGTCCTTACGTCCTTATGTCAAGGCACCTTCGTTGGCCTTGTTGGGTCAGGAGGCAGATAACCGCCTCATTTCTTCTTCTGGCCATCGGGGTGTTGGGCCAGGCTCCTCCATGAGGGACCACCTGAAAGGATCTCTTGCCTTCTTGACTCAGGTGGCTCCTCCCAAAGCTGTGTGCCATGTACTATTCCTAAAAAGCGACAGTGTGGGCATTGAAGATATAAAATGTGGCTTGACACACATTCCTTGCTTAGCCTTCTTGTGCTGTCCTGCTGCTATGCTTTGCCTCCACAGAGCGTGGCTCTTGGGTCTTCACCTCCTTTGATTGCTTCTTCACTGCCCGGTGGGTTTGTGTGTTCCTCCAAACGCACGATGAGACCGTCACAAACAGCCACTAACTCTCAGAGGAACTTTACCTCATGAGTGTAATAAAAACCATAGTGTTTCAAGTAAGAGACCTCCTAAGAAAACGCTACCACAGGACCACTTGTTGTTCGGGGCATGTAGTTTATTCCATTCCCTCTTTCCACTTTCCAGTGCTTTTTCTAAAGCTCTTCTTACCTGCCTGTCTCTTAATATGGAATTTGTTTAGGAAGCCAAGCCTGCCTGCCTCATGTTTTCCCTTGGATCTGTTCCCTGCTCCTAGCCAAGGTTGCCTATGGATCCTGCTTTGAAGTTCTTCTGCGACACATTGGCTGCACTTGGTGGCTCTTCCCTCAGCTGACGTCACCTCGGGGGTCCCCCTCCAGCGGGCTGAGAGTCGCATCGCCTCCACTTGCTTTGATCAAAATGAAATCCATTTACAAGCGCCTGACGAGCCGGCACAAACAGGCCCACAGGTTTCTAGCCAAAAGTAGCCGACATAAAAATATCCCAGCTTTAACTTTGGTTGAGTCCTTAAAGTAGCTAAGATGAGGCAAAGCCCAGAAGAAAAAACATTTCATTTCAATTTACGAGCACTTTCTGTTTGTTTAGCTCAAATGAATCCCTCATCATCAATTAAGCAAAATCAATGTAAGATCGGTTTAAATCAAAGTAAGTGTCCATACTGGGTTTTACCTCTGTATTTTAAAAAGTTAATTTAAAATTACAGTTCAAAGCGCTTTCCTGCTTGGAAAAGGCCCGTTTCTAGACACCAGCTGGGTGCTGACTACAAATGGTGTTCAGCTCCAGCAGGTCTGGGTGAAGACGGCAGAAGCAGTTGGATCTCAGCGAGGCTGGAAATCAGACTCGATCCCAGCACCTACGGCGATTCAGCCTGCACGTCCTTCAAATCCCGATAAAACCTGGCTTTCAGTTGCTGTTCCAGTGAGCTGAAGCGGGTGGTCTCTGTGTTAGAAAAGTTCGTTTTTCTTTGTGATTATATTGTGAGGCTCTGCTTGTGTTTGTTAAGTTGTTTTCCTGAACTCAATAAGCACAGCAATCGTCTAGGAGTAAAAATGAGTGGTTTCAGCCCAGGAGATTACCGTACACTTTACTAAATTTTCCCCTTTCGAGTATTTGTAACTATCGAGGGCTACGTTTCAGCAAATCCTCTTCAAAGGAAGGAAGGAAGGAGGGTGTTTGCAGCCGGACAACTTTGTATAATCCATCTTTTCTTTAAAACCTCAAGCCCAACCACAAGGAGGACAGGTCCGACCTCGGACAAGTTGTAGAAAACACAGTTTGAAATAAAACATGTTTGAAGCATTAGGGAAGTACCTTCTCCATGTGCTCAGTTCTTTGCTTCCCACCCATTTCCCAAACAGTTTGCCTCCCTAATCCATACATATGCCAGATGTGTGCTGGCACTCGCACACACGTGCCAGCTGTGCCCCGGCATGCACCCTCCTCCCTACACAAAGCCACCCATCGCCCCACCGGCTTCTCACCCGCAGGAGGGGGATAGCTTGAATTTCTTTCGATATTTCCTTCTTTTGATTGGTTTTCTTCTTTGCTGTTGAGCCTGTAATTCAGTTTTGCTGCCCCAAATGGTTAACCGCATAGTGGGAAGCTATGAAACACGCCCTGAAGTGTTTGGTTGTACCGCCACAGCCTCCCGTTTTGACGCCCAGTTCCCCCCCCCGGCTAAGACCCACAGAAATGATGGGTTATCAAATACCTCTGGGATTATTGGCAGAACTGTTACCTTGCCAAAAAGAGGGTGCAGGCTTTCATGATGGGAAGAAAGTTCTGGAACAGAGAGAATTTGAGCTCAGCGTCACGAGGCATCAGACAGCCAACCTGGTCCCTTCACTTTCGCACCCAGTGGAATCTCATTCCCAGGCTGGTTTTATGTCGGCACGGGGACACACAGGCAGAATTTATGCCCACCAGTGTGCATTAACTCCTGTCCTGACCAGTACTAATTACCGCTAATTATGTGGGACAGTGTTAATTCTTTTAGCAGCGTTACTGCTGGCCTTACACTTCTGAAAGTGCCTTTGCGTGAGGTAGCTTACTTTGAAAAGATATATGTGCGGGGAATAAATATAGAGTAGCTAATACACTGTAAATTTACACCACTGGATAGCGGGCTTTAAAGTCTCTAAAACACGGAGGTCTCTGGGCACAAAGACAGACAAACCCTTGAGTAAGAACTACTCCATAGAAAGGGTGGAGGATCACCCTGTGTGATCCTGGGAAAGTAATTTTGATCTGGCATTTCTCTTCTGTAAAATTGGAAAAATAATATGTCCCTAACCCTCTCAGGGGTATAATATTTATTTTCTCTGCCTTGCCAATCATTCTTTTTGCTTTTAAAAAATATTCTCCAAACCCTAATTGTTTTTATGTGTTTGCAGTATAAGACATAAAAGACATAAAACCATCATATTTTTCTATACTGTATTTTCCCCATTGTGTTGTACTGTTACCACGAGCACTTTGCTGTGCAGAGGCTCGGCTATTTGCTGAGAGGACAAATTAAGACATCTAAAGTGCTTCAGCATCTTGGCTGAGTGGCACCGCAGAGCTGGAAGGTATCATTAGGCCAAATGGCTCTTTTCTGTGGGAGTGAGAAGCCCAGATTTTTCAATGGATTAAGGAAAACCGGTTCACGTTCCTCTGTGCCCCCCATCCTGCAAATATAGGGCAGGAGACCGTGGCTTTGAATCACTGAGTTCCCTTCACTCCCTTTGGTCCGGGCATTTCTTTCATGACTTAGATGTCAGGGTCAAGCCTGGGAAGTCAGGAGACGTCAGATGGTCCCGGTCCACGCGGGCATCAACATCTCTGCACTTCAGCTCGGTTATTTCTCCTTCCAGAGTCTGCACAGTCATCGCTAGGGCTCAGCAACATTGTCCTGGATGGTCTCATTGACGTCGCCGTCTCCTTCAGCAAGAATGCTGTAAGTTGGGAGGCTTTGCTGTTAGACCCACTAACGCCTGGTCCCTTTAACACCTGGCAAGGGGCTGGTGCCCACCAGTCTGTCAGATCCATGCAGAAGGGGCAAAAAAACATAGCAGAGGATCTGGCTCATTCATCGTTAAATGGTTAAGTGGATCCATGAGGATTCCCAGCTCTTGGAAGTTTTTCTTAGCGGCAGGTCACGGTGTGCCAGTGTCAGGGGTGCGCTAGTGCTGACAGACGAGCGATGTTTCGAAATCTGCCAGTGAAAGGCTGACTTGGTACCCTGCCAGGCTGCACGAGCTGCCGCTCCTCCGCGTAACCGGTGTACGCACCGAGCCAGGCTGTCTCTGCCTCCAAGGGCTTCCCATCTTTGGATGGGACCTTTGCCTACCAGTCCCTCCTTCAGTCTCACCCGCAGTCGGTGATGTTTTGTCTGCTTCTCCCATCACTGGCATTTCGTTGCTGCTGGCTTTTCCCCGGTGACGGAGCGGATGGGTCCGGGTAGACGTGGCAGCACAGCGCTGAGAGCCAGCTCCTGCAGCGTTGGTGCACTGGTGATCTCTGGGGCTTCTGAAGCCACCCCAGAAACGATCTCCGTGTCCATAGTCCCTAAAGACGTCCCAAAGAGATGCTTCCCCCCTTCCCCTCCAGAAGTAGTAGGTTGGGTCACCCTTTCCCTGGCATCACTCACCACACTGGAAACACTTATTCCAGCCTTTCCCGCTGCTCTCGCAGCAATGCCCATGCCAGGCTCGGGGGTCTCCAACCGCAGGCAGGCTGCCTCTTCCCCGGGCTCCTTTCTCCAGGGCCTGCGTGCTATATTGGGTTTGTTTTCATCCTTTCCCTGACCATTCGGCTATTTGGAAGCATTTTTCTGGGCATTTCTCTCAACAATATGTCCAGTAAGCTGGAATCAGATGTGCCACAAATGTTGTTTTAACTAAGTCATCTTTTATATCTGCAGATGGATGCCAAGGTTCTCGACTCTGCATAAAGCAATTACCCATCTGCTTTTCAGTTTTTTAGGTGGAAGAACAGGAGCCTTGTTTGTCCGATGACAGTAGTACGCAAACATGCATCACTGCTTTCAGTGGCCTGGACGTTTGGCTGCCTCCTCTGCTGCCCTCCCCTCCTACTTTTACAAATAAGGGGCAACATTTGGCCATTGCATTCAAATTGAACTTCTGCGCTCACTTCTCTCTCAGTGCCTAAAATTTTAGGCTTAATTAAAAAGAATAAGGGAGGGAGGCTGCATTTTCATCAAGTTATTTCCCTTTTCCACTTTTCCCTATCTGCCCGTGACACTTTCTCACAGCAGCTCCCTGCAAACCAGCACCTGCAAAGGCTCAGGTGAGGGGAACGGGACGGCTTATTCTTTCGCTTCCCCCAGTTTTAACTCACTTATAATTGTACCGACTTCAGCAGGGCTGCCCTGATTTATGGGGCTGTAAGCGGTGGGACCACTGTCCTTTCCTACTCCCTGCCGGAGAGCCGGGGAGAGACAAGCAGCTTCCAAGAGGCTTGTTGGTTCGTGTTCATTAACAGCAGCTGTCAGACAGCTCTCGCCGAAGCTCCGCGTCCTTTCAAAACCATCACGGCTTTCTACTTCACATAGAAATATGCAGCAGTTTCGTTTGTACAAAACCTGCATGAATAAAAATTTAATCTAAGGCTATCACTGCTCTAACAGCAATAATTTCTCTTAAAAGCTGGATACAAAGAATACTAAATACTGTCTATAAATAAGACTGTATTTAATAGGGGAGAGAAGTGATTTAATGAGCTTACTGGTAAAATCTTCCCTGCCACTTTCAACCTCAAATATAGGTCTTTTTTCCTGAGCAAAACTGGCTTGCTACGAGGAGAACTCGGGCCCCAGTAAACTGTGATTTTTTGAGGTGAAGTCATTCAACTCAAGCTTTCCTTTCCAAAAGGAAGAGAAAAAAATACCTACTTAAAGGAAATATTAGTTAATCAGAGGACATCCTTTTCATAATAGAAGCTACTAGGGGATTTAAAAGCACATTCTAATTATAACAGTTCCCTAATTATCTGCCTAACATCTCATTTTTCTGCCTAATCCCACTTTTAATTATATAGTACCTTTCTTTGCCCATCACGCAACTGAAGTACTCTATTTTACTGAAAATAAATCCTTTTAACTGGCGATGTCAGAGAAGAAGTATTGTTGCTGCCCCCTGGAATGCACGCGCTGTCTGGTAGGCAAATGCCTTGCCAGTGGTTTTGGATAAAGCACCTGGATGTGCCCTTTAGAAACAGCCTCATTTAAAGCCTTGCAGGTTTTCTCAGGGGAGAGAAAACACTCTAAACCACAACGCTCTCCGCAAATGTGTCCGGCTGCAAAAGTTTTCAAGCATTTAGCTGTGTTTTTCAAACTCTTGCGGCTTGGTCCCCCTTTCACCGATGTTCGATGGGATCCCTGCCACCGGCTGATGGCGGAATAGGATTTGGCCTTTGAACCAAGCCAGCATGTAATTTGCAGAAAGGAAGCAATATTTGAGCTCTGTTATCTATGAGCATCTGGTCATCAAGATCTTGCTTAGCGATTAGCGAGCCGAGAGGAAACCCTATGGAGGGGGGAGAGGAAATCCCGCACGCGGGGTTCCCATTTCCAGCCCCGCCACGGGCTTCCTGCCCTATCCTCGAGCAAATCCCAGTTCTCCGCTTCCCGAGAATAAAAAAAGAATTACCCTTCAGGGATATTGTCAGGCTTAATGGATGTTTATAAATCGCTCGAACAAAAGGTGCTATGTCAGTGAAAAGTGCTCTTCCCGATGATTATTCAAATGCTCATTAAAATGCATTTTGCTCCATCCTTTCCCTTGGCTTGTGTGGGAGGCAACTGAAAGATTTAGTCTTTGTGGGAAAGCGGGTGAGCGCGAGCGCTTTCCTTTGGGTGTGGGAGCGGCAAGTTTAGAGAGTTAAGGACCTTTGGCACACAGGTAGGGTTTCATCCAAGGCTTTTCGGCTCCCAGCCAGGCTGCAAGCTCCGACAGACCTGGGGCTGGCGAGTTCCCTCCAGGAAGACAAGCCAGAGATTAATGGTACCAACCCCCGCTCAAATTTGCATGTATCATTTCCTTAGCTTTGCTCCTGATGGAATTAGGGATCATCCTTTAGTGAAAATTATTCTTAATGTGTATTTAAGCATTAAAAATGAATATGCTCGCGTGATAAAACTTACGGAATAATTTATAAACAGCTAACGTAAACGTGAGATACGGAATACTTGGCTGCCCTGCAAACCTGCCCAAACGTCTGTAACGCTAGGATGCTTCTTCCTTCATGGATGTTTCATTATGTCTCACTGACCCCTTCATGGCGGCTTGGTCTGCGCAGGGTCTGCTGGCATTTCCAGGCATTAAAAGCTGAAGAAGACATGATATATCTTCGTACTTTTCACTGCATCGGACAGCAGCTTGGCATCTGAGCTGGCAGTCTAGACGCAACGTTTTTCACCCTCTGCAGCTACCTAAAGCTGCATGTACAACTGCCTACCCTCAAACAGCATCCACAATGAGCAATAACGTTTTTTTCTGCCAACTTCCAAATCAGCAGCATTAGCTGTGGATATGAAAAATATGGATTTCCTGGTAAGGAGTTTCTATCCAAAATGCAAAGAATTTTATGCTTTTCGGGCAAAAAGCCGCTGACATGTAATAGTCATTATTGTTTCTAATTAAAGTGCGCTTACTTGCTCCTATCATTATTTTTAAAGGGTGGGAGATGCTTCTGCGCGGCATGATGACTGCTCCCAAATACAGTCCTCTCCGCTCACCCTTGCACTTGTCACATAGTGCATCGGCAGTAACACCTCCACCACCATTTTGACTTCTCCTTTTTTCCCCTCCCCTGGGGGATACTTTTTCTGTCACGTCCTTCCTTTACACCAGGCAAATCCTCACTGCCACTGCAGACAGCTGCTGGGATGAACTCAGCCTCCTCTAGCGTATTGCACAACCACATGGACTGGCACCTCTTGTGTCTCCTTTGCAAAGGCTGAACTGAGGGTGCAAAGCGTGAAGCAGGGGTGAGTCAGGCTCCATGAATTTTTCTCCTCCATGCAAGCCCAGTCTGATCCTGACCATACCCCAACCTTTGCTCTATACCCATCGGCAGGTGCGAACCAGGCCTGGTATCACCTTGTGCTCTATGTCAGCCAACAAACTGCCAGGTTTCAAGTCTTCCTCTATTTTTTTTTTTTTTTTTTTTTTACTTTTGCAGCTGGTGCCTTTTTCCCTCTGGTACCTCTGTGCCTTCCTCGTGTTGCATGTTCATGTGTTGTCCGATACATGTTCCTGCAGGTCTTGAGGTGGCCTTCAGTGCCTGCCCTTCTCTCATCCAGGACTTGGATGTGAGGCACACCAAGGAGCTGGAAGAAGGGGCAGCACTGTACCCATTGGAGCCTTCCTGCCCTGCTGTTCTTCCTCCCGACTTGTCTTCATCCACTGACCACTGTGGCATGTACTGACTCTACCTTCTCCCAGCACATGGAAAGGGATGCTTTCACTCAAATATTGCCCAGCCCGTTCTTCTTTAATAAACGTGTTTCCTTTTTCATCACTTTATTTCTTAGCTAATTCAAATAGCCTCTGCTGGGTACACCAGCGGTGAGACTGGCTGCTCTTTTAACAAATTTAGTTGATTTAGTCAATTATACTAGCAGGCAAACTTTTTCAGCATGCTAAACTATCCTGTGCAAAGGGCTGATACTCCACGAGGCTCCTTAGTCCCAGAACACGGGCACCATGACCTGACGGGGCCGGTGGACTGCCAATAACAGCGTATGGGGACAAATCCAGTCCCCCAAGTGAGCAGCAGGGCTGTGCAGCCTGTAAAAACCTAGTCCTCAGCTGTTTGCATGCCTCATCTCACCCCTCTGCAAGAAGGAGCTGTAAGACCCCATGCC